GCCACCACGTTTTGCACTAGCTGCAGTTTCCGGGTCAGGTTCAAGGGCAGCCTCACATAGAGCAAGTTACTGTAACCTGGGAGTAACCATTGCATGGATCACTGTAGCCAAGTCCCAGGAGGTGAGATAGGGAATCAGCTGCCTGACCAGCCTCAGATAATAAGCTGAACAACTGGTCAGCTCCCCAGTTTGTAATGCTACCCCAAAGGCTGCCCAAAATAATGCAGGCTTGCATGCCCTATGGAATGCTGGGTCCCTTCACAACTTCTCCATGCCACACCCATGGCAGCAGCTCTGTTGCACCCCTCACATGCCTGCACTGACAAGCTGCATAGCTTATCTGTTGCCAGTAGTGTTGTGTGTGTGGGAATGTGTTGGACCCAGAGGACCGCCCCCCCCCCCCGTGCTAGAGAAGCCACACACACTTTTGAACCACCCACCAGCCCATTCACTATACAATCTGCACCCAGCAGAACATGCGTGTGGGGTAAGGAGCAACATGTGAGGTCAGCCTTCAAAGTGCTATTGGGCCTGTTACATTATGCAGTTGTACAGAACAGAAGTCCAGTGGCACCACAGAAACCAACAACAGCAATCTCAGAATGAATACCCTTGAGTCAGAGCCCACCCTCTCAGACATGTGAAGGGAGAGTCACTCCAGGAAGACTGAGGAGGCAATTACAGATGGGGGCAGGAGGTGGAGGAGGGGCATGGGGAAAGTCTCATCTCAAAAACAAATGAACAGAATTGCAGATCACTCCAGACTTTATTGAACAACTCATTAAGAGGTTTGATGAATGGGGTTGCCAACTCTCTCCATCTTGAATGGCTCCTGTGTCTTTGTGAGCTGCTCCTGGGGCCATGGGAAGATAGACTGAGCTGTCCTTCACACAGTATGCATGTGAGGGGGGCAGACCTGCCAGATGAAAGCCTGTCCAAAGCAGGATACTCCAGGAGCCAGACTGGAACCAATGGCTTAACAGAGTGGCATGGACTGCACCAGTCATGCTCCCAGGTGTTGAATGATCACCTGTACATAAGCAAAACAGAAATATGTGCAATGGTGGCAAACAGCCCTGACATGATGTCTGCCACAGCCAGCCTGTGGGGCCTCAGGAGGGTTTGAGTTCCCACCCCCGGGGGGGGGCCTCTATTTACCATAGAGTGCCCTTGAGGCCACCCAAATGACATTTACTGATATCATGGGGAACTGCTCTGCTACCACAACTGCTTCATCTGCAGCTGCTGAGGTACAGGGCTCTAATCCCTCAGGGCAATGGGTCATATGGATGTTTGGCCAGCTAATCCACAGAGCACAGTAGGGCAGGTGCTGGTTGCCCCATACCACAATTGTGCCCTGTCTCCCACTTGGGGGAAGGGGGTACCGTAGCAAGGGTGTGTGCTATCAGCATGGTATGGGGCTACTAGTGTCCTGCTCCCCCGCCCTGCATCATAGGCAGCTCTCCTGGGTACACTTTCTTGGGAGTATGCCCTGTTGCATAAGATGAGGCATACTGCTGGGTGGGCCTGGCTTGGGTTGCTCCCATCTGCACACACTGCTAGCCTTGAGTCTAGGAGCCAGCATCGTCACGACAGTACCCAGTTTTGTGCCAGGAGAACAGGGGAGGTGGGTGTAGTCTTCTGGGATGGGGCAGCCTTGCTTACCTGTTGAGTCTTTGGAGATGTGGTACCTGTTAGAGTTCTGAAATGACACATTAGCCACACAGCATGAACTTTGCTGTCTCTCTTGAATGTTATTGCTAAATGCTTCCTCAGTGGTCCTAAATGCACTCTTGGTGCCTCTCCCACCACCCAAGTGTACTTTCAGCATGCACAGGAGAGATCTCTGAGACAGAATCCCATGCCATATGCCTTATCTTCTGAACTATGATGTAAGCCACCCTGAGCCTCCGGGGAGGGCGGGATAAAAATGTGAATAATAAATAAAATAAATAAATAAATAAAAATCCTGGCTGAGGGGGGAGGGGACAGTGATTGGATGCAAGGGAGGGGGTTTGGCCACCCCTGGAGAGAGAATGATAATTTGCAATCTGTCCGCCGTCAAGGATTATGTGTGGGCTGTGGCCTGTGGGGGGGAATTTTTCTCTCTATAAAATGAGATTGTCTAAATCAAGGAAGCCATAGTCCCCAGTTTGCAAGACTTGAGCAAGGCTGTTAATTATAGGCCATTTTGGAGAACATTAATTCATAGGGTTGCCATAAGATGGAAGCGACTTTATGGCACTTCACACCCACCCACCTACCTATGGGCTATGCCATTGTTTTTACTGGCATAACTTTCTACCACTTCTGGGGGTGTTTACACCATTCGTTCTCTGTAGACTTGAAGTGTCACTATCAGACTATGTAATGCAAGCCTCTGCCATTAAAGGCAATGTACATCAAATCTCATATAATCAAGGTCATTTCGATTGGTTTATTAAATACATGTGATATATTTTTGTGTTACTGTGGCTCTCAATTTCAGCCAAGAGCACCCTGACTCTGTGAAGGGTTAGTTACTTGTAAATTTGACTTCCTGTTCCTAAAGATAATAGGTATAGGGGTGTCAAACATAGGCCCTATGGGCTTGTCCAGGGCTCTTATCCGGCCCCCGAGCAACCCTTTAATGTCAGATGACAGAGGCTGTGCATTATGTCCCTGTATACTGTCCCACTGCTAATGCATAAAGGGCAGTGGAAGTGGGAGGACATGCATCAGGGGGATAACATAAGGAAATACTGTGTTAATGTTTTAAGCATGTTTGTATTTTGAATAAAAAATAAATAATTGTTAATTGGGTTTGCCTGTGTCCTTTATAAAGTGTATATTTCTGGAACCTGGCATTACATTTTATGTCAGATCTAGCCCTCGTAACAAAGGAGTTCGACACCCATTGGTGAATGTTAGCACTAAAGAAAAGGAATGATGAACTGACGACTTGGCTCTGTTGTATTATGACTCATTTAATTTTGTGAAAGCTTTAAAAGAGACCAGGCCCCGTAGCCAGGATTTTTAAAGTTGGGAGGCATATAAATTTCTTAGGGGGCACTGCCTAATTGAATTAAAGGTAATTTAATTACGTTTCTGGGGGAATTAAGTTTCTTGAGGAAATAGAGAGGTGCTGTCTGGCTCCGCGTGGCCATCATAGCTGGCCCTTCACACCAGACAGCTGCATAGGAATACCCGGCTCCCTCCCCACATCCACTGCCACTTGGGGACCCTGGGCTGGATGGGGAGTTGGAGGGCTTAGCCCCAATATGCCCCACTGTAGCTACAGGCCTGAAAGAGCCTGAAAGTTAATTTCATTTAATATGAAAAAGGCTGTATTCCTTTTTACATTAAACCAAGGCATTTAGCATTGCTTCATTTTTGCCATGCTTGTTCTCTAATTTTGTAATCCAGCTCTCTAATTTTGTAATGGTTTTATTGTTTTGTTTGTTGCATATATTATGCCCATCTTTATTGCACTTGGGTGGCTTACACCAGAGGGTTAATCTTCACAGAAATCTTGTGTGGTTCAGTTTACACTGAGAGATACCATCCGATATGCTTCATATTGTACGTATGTAACCTAGGTTTGCAGATCCAAGTCTGCTCCTATACCATACTCACTTTCAAAGACAGAACTTCCTGCACTGATCAGAAAATGTACATTGACTTTAATCTGAGCAGTCAAGAATTTGATCACTGATCCACCAACCTGGCAGGGTAGATTTGAGGATCAAGGAGACAACCCCCCCCCCCCCAGAATCTTGTGGAATTATTCACGTTAATTATTTTCTATAGCACCAGGTGTTTGAGATGCTTTATAAATTGCAATGAAATAATAATAAAGCAATACATGTACTTTGGAGACTATTTAGACAAATGATTATACTTTTGCGTTAAAACCATGATCTCTTCAGTTTTAGAACTGTGATTATAGAATTCCCCTTCCCCCTTCCCACACTAAGGTTCAGCAATCAGCAGTCTTGTTTGATAAACTTTTTATCTTTGGAAGTTAGTAATGTGTATCTTATTCCAACCAAGTCTGAAATGTTCAGTTGAGTTTTTTTTTAAAAAAACCATATTTTATTAAGAATCTCAGTGTTTTGCCACATTAAAAACAGTATTTCTTACATGACAGTAAAATCCAATCCAATGTACATTTATTGCGAAATAAACGCCATCGCTTACTCTGAAGTATGGTCTGTAGCTATACTCCTTTGTAATCTTCTGTACACTTACGTGAGAGTAAACCCCACCGAATACAGTGAGTTTTCCATGCAAACCGCCCTTTCATACGCGAACTTCGGTCTTCAAGGGGGGGAAGGAGAACTTTAAAAACCTGAGTATTATTTAAGTCGCAGCCCAGTCATAGCCATGAAGTAGAGCATCACTGTGGCCTATGGAGGGAAGCACAGCTTTGCTATCCGACCTTCTCTGCACAGGATAAGGATTTTAAGAATCTCCACCGGAGACGAGGACCTGCAAACATCGGTTTAAACGCAACAGGCGAACGCGACCCGAAGGGTAAGCTACAGACAGGCTATTCTGCTGGCGCTTCCACTCCTTCCCACGCAGAGCTGTGAAGAAAAGGGGATCCCAGGAACAAGCTGCGGAACGCAAAGGACTCGGTCGGGTTAGCGAACGGAGGAGCTGGTCAGTCAGGCCTCCTTTCATCACGGAAACCGAACAATAACGCCAACTTCGCCCCCCCCCCCCCCCCCCCGCCCCCCCCCCCCCCCTTCTCGCACCCTCCTCA